AAAAAAAAAAAAAAAAAATTGTGCTAAATAGACTATAAGAGTCCCACCAACTGAGCAAACACTGCATATCACAGAATTTTAAAAGATTAAATTTCTCCTTTTATAAGTTGTCTCACCTTTTGAATTTTTTCTTCTATATTACTGTGGTCATCATAGGGTTCCATTCTAATAAAAATTAAATAATCTAGTTAGTCACATGAAAAATCACATGGTAATTTAATATCCAAAGAGCTAATCAGTCTGCAAACCCACCCACCAACAACCACCCCAACAAAAAATAAACTTTAATCTGAAAGCGATAATAATTATTATATAATAATTTATTAGAAGAACTGGACTAGCAGTCATAACTATGCTCTAATCCTATCATCATCTGGCTATTGATATATTATTTTAATTAATGTTTGTGGGAATCTGTTTTCTCACCTGTAAAATGCAAAAGCTAAACTAGTATCTAAGGCAACTTCTAGCTCTAAAAGTCACTTACTTCTTTATTTGGTTTTCCAGTCCTATACATTCAGATCTCAAGTTTCGTACCTGCTTAACTGATAATCTGCAAGAAAACATACAAACATGACAAAACATACAAAATGACAACTATAATACCATTACAGCTAATTAGTATAGCCCACTTCTCTATTTTCCCTTTGCATATCCTTGCTCAAGGCCTCTGGGTACAGCCACCAGCAAGCTAAAGGACTCTAAACTCTCTTTATCACACAAGTGATTCAACATACAGGCTCCTACTGAGATGGACCTAGGACTCGTAGGTTAGTATATCCTCTCTGATTAGAATGATGGAGGTTAGTAAGACGACTCTGCTCTTATCCTTATCTCACATACCCAGGGGATAAATTTAAATGTTATCTAATACAGTCAGGCAACATTTCAGTTAATTTCAAAGGATTCTATAGCTTTAGTAAAATACAACAAAGCATTCTACAAAGTTATCCTACTGTAATTGTCTACAGTTGCAAAAAAGAAATTAGGCCAGGTGTGGTGGCTCACACCTGTAATGCCTATATTTTGGGAGGCTGAGGCAGGAAAGTGGCTTCAGGCCAGGAGTTTGAGACCAGCCTGGCTACAAAGCAAGGCCCTGTCTCTACAAAAAAATTTTAAAATTAGCTGGGTGTGGTAGCACACGCCTGTACTCCCAGACATGGCAGGAAGATCACTTGAGCCCCTGAACCTAAATATAAAATAGCATTAAGTGGTTTTAAAAAATGATGACTACCTACCTGAAAGAATATCTACTTAACGAAATACCCACTAATCGGACTAATGGACATTAAAAGTAATATACTGGCATGGTGCAGTGGCTCACGCCTATAATCCCAGCACTTTGGGAGGCTGAGGTGGGTGGATCACCTGAGGTCAGGAGTTCGAGACCAGCCTGGCCAACATGGCAAAA